AAACAATACAGACAGAACTCATGATAATCCCCCACCTGCTGACAGCTTTGCTTTCTTCAGCATTTGCTTGGATCAGTGAGACTTCTATGTGAACACAGTCTGAAGAGTGGGAGTAAAGGATTCAAGTTCATGCCTTTAATTTAATATTCAGGATGTGATTGTACACAGGTAGTCTTCGAAGAGGGAAAATAACAAAGAACCAACCTTCAACAATGCCTCAGGTAAATCCACCAAAACAAGGTCAATTGTCTGCTGCATTTCTGAATGTATATAGGAATACTGCACTTCAGAGACACGGGGCTGCAGGGACTATCACACTTAGAAGACTGGTGAGACAGCTAGCGGCAGCCAAATTACATATACGTTTATACGCATATACGTTTTTATAAACGCATTAAAATAAGTCAGCATATTGGAGAAAAGACTGTTCTGCAAGAGATACACTGTGCTGTTTCATAGGGGTACATGTATTTGACCATATTGTCCACAAATGAACAGTATAAATGAATTTATGACTTCAGAGAAAACATAAACACTAAGATAAAGATGCCTGTGACTGGCATCAGTACAGAGGGATCCAGACTTATACTGGAAGTTCTCCAGAACTGCGATCATCTCTACATTTCCTGTTGTCTTTATGATAATTACTGACCAGAATTTGTCAGTAAGCTTTGGGATCAAAGATGCTATCATAATCATAAAACAGTTAGATTAATAAAAAGATTCCTGAATGCCCAGTCAGCAACGTGCAGAGGATTTCTACTGTGGAAATATTTGGATGATGTTGACTCATTCTGGCAGCCTCCTCTACAGTGAATAATGAAAATATGAGCTGCAGGAAATAACTTAGTCCAGTTTTTCCCATGGCCTGAAACCCCCAGTTTCTGGCAGACTTAGGAGCCAGATCCATTTACTGAAGTCTGATCTATCTTGTAATTGAATTATTGCACAGAGAAGAAATCCCACAATATTGGGCACCCACCAGAGTCTTGAGGTGGTGCTGCTATCTGGCTTCTCCAAGGCACTGACTGCTTCCTCACTGGAGCAGAGGACTGGAACCATTACCCATGTGCAATGCTGGGCACGCTCATCCACTGCCTTTGGATGTAAAAAGTTACAGTGCACACACACAAATGTATACGATCAGACCCAGCATGTGAAAAAGACATGCAAAAGAGGATCTGAACTACACTGGTGTCTTGTACGTGGCAGTCTCTGGCAGGAGCTACTGTAGATCAGGCAGGTGTGTGGGAGCATGTAATCCTCTGAGGGTCCAGTGCTCTGTTGCTGTGAATTGGTCAAGTCCCAAGGGTGCCACACAAGAGCAGACAAAGCAATTAAGAGGAAACTGGGAGCTCAGGATTTAAATCGGGTGTTTACATGGACACATTGCTGTGATGCTGACTGATAGCCACAAGAGTTTGCCCTGCTTGTTCCTAAGTTTTGAAGACCTTGGCAGTGGTGGTGGTTGCACATAGCAAAATGGCAGCAGTGAATCATTTCACAGAGAGCTGGCCCAAGCAGAGTCTGTACCCACAGCTCCAAAGTAAGGCATCTCTCAGAATGGTCTCCTTCTAAAATGGGTTTTATCAGCTTCAAAGAACCATGCCCTATGTAAATGTTCTGCTGCGCTTTTTGTGCATAAAGCCACAGGTGAAAACACCCAACATTCACAACCAAAGCTTCCAATTTCAAATGGGGGCTTAGCAAAATTAAATGTCACTGTCAGCATGTCTCTAGCATATGAGGGCTTTTCTCTTTTTTTGCTTACAGTGCAGCCTCTAAGTGCAAAGTGCAAGAGGCATTGCTTCCTGTAAATGGTTTGTGATAAGGGCATAAATCTATTTAGTTTAAATGACACTGCATTTCTAAACCGCTTAGTCGCAGAATCCATTTTGTGGGAAAAGTAAATTTTAGGAACACTACAGTGTTACAGGGTTTCCTGGAAATATGTTCCAAATTCACACTCAGGGTCACAGCTGGAGTGCTCTTGCTATCTCAAACCACCTTCCCATAAAGGACATATTGTCATAGCCGCCTCATCTTTCTGCTCCTAATAAAACACCTACCAGACAAACCCCTGACCTCCTGCCTCCAAGGTCATTGTATAACATGCTTGATTTCTTCTGCTCCCTGACAACTATACGGATGTGTATGCTTAGTCAGAGTCTAGCATCCTTCCTTACAAACTATGCAGGTGTTTTATATGGATAGAGGTGGGCTGTGAAAAAGAGGTGAGGAAACGCCCAGCCAAGGACTTCTGATGTCTTTCACAGCAGAAAGCTCTCCCACTGCTCAGGTTGGTGCTATTGCCCTGGGCACTTGTAGGTATCCTTGGTGTGAATGTGAGAGAGGTCCTGGGGAACCTCTGTGGCATATGCTATGGGCATTTGGCACAGCTTATAGCTACCATGACAAAAGCACATCTGAAGCATCCCAGAGTTGCTAGGCATGGAGATAGAAATTAATATGCCATCAGCTAGAGCTGTCAGAATTACAGGTAGACTGCACCATCCCTGGAATCTATCTCTCCTTCACGTGCTGCTGCTGACCTCATCTGGGAAAGGTGATTCTAGCCACAGCCAGAGGCAGGAAAAAAAGAAGCTGCCAGTTCTTCCCCCCCTAACATAAAGTGTAGGAAGGAGACTGAAGCTCATGATGCTGGAAAGGATTTTAAACCCAGGCCTCCAGCTCTCTGCTAAGAATGACACAGTGTGTGAATGGGATCCAAAACATCATTGTTTGTGCACTGCAGGAAAAATGCCAGTCCAGTGCTTTAGGGTCCTCCCCCTCCTTCAGCCAGTTTCCATCAAAGGCTTGGCAACTGCAGGAACCAGTAGCCTAGAAAATGACAGATCATTAAACCTCTGCTTGGTTTCAAAACCCTACTGCCACCAGGAAACAGAGATATTTTTTTTTAAATGCCTTTTAAAAATAAGTTGTCATTGAAAGGGCTTGCTCAGCTTGGCTCATTTTTGTGCAGATAATTACATGCTCCCCCCCCTGCTTTGTTGATAAGGCTGGTACCAACCACTGTGCTGGTCAATGAGGCTAAGTGTTGAGTCGGGACAGCCACCTCCCTCCTCTGTCACCCTGGGAAAGCTATCTCCCAGCTCTGGTGTGATACCCGTGGCTGGGGACTCCCTATCGCATGAAATACAGTCCTTTTTAGCACTCATGGGCAACTCTGAGTGCCAGATACATACAGCTCTGGCTCTTTTGCAAGGAGGCAAAGTGATTTTGCCCTGCTGCCATCAGGGAGTGTGCAGCTTTGTACTGGGTCTGGCTGAGCTGGAATTGGTTTTCCCCTATAGCAGCCCTCACGGTGCTGTGTTTTATGCTGGGAGCTGGCAGGGTGTTGATAGCACCCTGGTGTTGTGGCTACTGCTGAGCAGGGCTTACACAGCACCAAGGCTCTTTCTGACACTTCCCCCAGTGGGACGGGGTGGGCAAGATCTTGGGAGGGGATACAACCAGGACAGCTGACCCAAACCGACCAAAGGGATATTCCATACCATATGACATCTGCTCAGTATAAAGCTGGGAGAAAGGAGGAAGAGGTGGGGTCACCCTTGGTCCTCCGAGGCAACTACTACACGTATGGGAGCCCTGCTTCCTGAGAAGGCCCGACATCACCTCTTCATGGGAAGTAGAGAATAAATCTGTTTTCTTTTTTGCTTTTATGTGCAGACCTTTGCTTCGCTTTGCTTATATTAAAACTGCTTTTGTTTTACCCACAAGGGTTGTGTGTTTTTTTTCCCCTATCTTATTTTCTTTCCCCTCTTCGCCCTGTTGAGAAAAAAAGGGGGAAGGGGGCAAGTTATAGAGTGACTTGGTGGGTACCTGGCATTTAGTTAAGGTCAAACCACTTACAGGGCAGAGGTTAGCTAAAATATCCAGTTATCTTACAAGGCTTCTCTCTGCATCAAGAGAGACGTTGTCTTGTGCAGGAGGAGGAGGTGACAGCAGCTTGTCACAAGACTCATGTATACCATAGCAGCAGCAGCAGGAACAAACCTCTTTGTTCAAATATCTTTCATGGAAAGAAATGTTTCCACTACCAACTTGTAGAGTATGGGCCAGTGAAGATGTGTGAATCTCAGTGAAGCCAGCGAATAACCCTGCATTTGTGGTCACAATGGTCTTCAATGGACTTCATTAAAATTGTTTTTTCCTTTCAGAAAGGAGTGAATATTAACAAACTATCCAGGAAACATCTTACTGCAGCTACTGAGAACCTGTTTTCTGGAGTGTAGTATGATTTCTGTATTAACCTTTCCTAAAACTCAAAGTACTTAAAGCAGTAGGTTTTTTTTACACATGCTACTTGTCTTGTCCAGGTATCATGCATCCTATTTAGATTAAAGTTTCTGTGCAACATATGGGCAAAGTGTATTTGTATTGTCCTTTGCTTTGGTGGAGAGGTAGACTAGTGTTTACCAGTGCTCACAATTAATGAAATTAGCAGACCTACCAACATGGCCAGGCTTTAAAATTGGGCCCGACACATTCCACAGACCTACTGCCCATGGACAGTTAGCCTGTGTGCATGCTGATGACCTCTTCATCACCTGTACAGTGGGTCCAAGGTGTACAGAACACATCAAGCTGATTCGGCATGTTCAGTAGCCTCGGTCCCTGTGTTGTGCAATGCACATTTACCAGGAAATGGGCATTGCACAACCTGGAGAGTGAGGTTGCTGAACATGGTAACTCCGTAGACTGCCATCCCAAGTAGGAGGGCAATAAACACCCAAAGCAGTCCCTATCACTAAAATTGGTAGGGTTGGCAGGCCTGACCTAGATCTTTAGCTCAAAGGGTGGGTCTCCATGTTTTCAAAGGTGAGACTGAAGAACCATCCCCATGACTCAGTCAGGAGCTTAGCAGTAGAAATCTTTGTGACATCTGTTGCTAGGTATTGCCATATACATCATCATTGTAAGATAACAGCTGTGGTTTTGGGTACTCTGGGAGAAAGTCTGCATATAGAAGCACTCACCATGAAGTGGATGGGCCACTGTGATATCGCATAACTGATCTTCCTTGTGTTTTCTTTTGCCTTCCAGGTGTTCACATACTGTGTCCTCACCCAGGAGGGATGCTGGGCTGTCAGTAGGTCTGCAGTGAATTGCCTGCATTTTCTTTGCTGTGACGACAGGTGCAGCACATGTGGCAGGGAGAAGCATTTTGGCAGAAGGTAAGTCACAGTCTAACTGACTCCTGCTGCTGGAATCTGTGAAGGACACAGCACAAGACAGCTTTGAGTAAAGAAACCATTGTTCAGTGCACCTTCCAGTTGGTGTGGAAAAAAAAAAAAAAAAAGCATGGGTGTGTTCTAGATACAATTCAAACCTGGTAATATTTTAAAAGGCCTTAATCCTTCTGCACTATGCATCAATGACAAGGTGACCTCATGTTGTAGGGGCATGATCCTGGTGAATTTGACCCCAAAATCTAGCCTATTCTTTGCTTCCTTCCACGTTAAAACTTCCATTGGTCCTTGTGGGAGATTTTCAAAAAAGGAGTGTAGAAGTAAGGACACACAACCAAATGATTAAGAAAGCTCAGCTTCCCTGTCAGTATCCAAATTGGTGGCTGCCTTTTCTGAAGAACTCAGAAGTACAGTAGATGTAGAGCTGCTCCAAACATCTGTCAGCAAGATTGCCATGTAATTTGCTGGATGCCAAATGCATTTAAAAATGTGGTCCTTTCTTAAATGTCTCTGTAGGTGCATCTACCCTATAGGACAATGGGCCAGAGAATATGCTAAACGTCGGTGTCTTCCCTGATTCAGCTCCATTTATTCTACATCTGGGTTGCCTACCACTCAGATTTAGGCACTGGATTATTTTAAAGGTAGCCTTTTCCCAGGCTGTCAACATTTCCCATCTGCCTTTGTGACAGGCAACACTGGTGATATCTAGGAAGCTACTGACAGCCAACTCATCTTCATGAAATCACCTGCATGTTCTTGTTGATAGGACAAACATAAGAGAAGTGCATGTTGGCTCACTTCCATGAAGTGCAGCCATAGGGTTATCTTAGATTTGAGCACTGGTGTTATAAACAATCTCAGTGGGATCTGAAGGTAACCTCAGCAGTAACCAGTAGTGACATGCTAGGACACCTGACCCTGAGTGGTGATGAAATTGCTCACAGAAGCCACAATCTTTCTTTTGCTATGGTTTTGCCTTATTACTAATATGATCATCTCTGTCTGTAGCAGGGGAACTTTCAGGATCTTTCAGATGAGTTTTATGCTCTCATGAATGCAGTATGAGTCCTTACTCATCCTTGAAAAGCCTGCACTGAAATACAACATGCTGGGAAGCCTTGTGGTCCAAGAGACTGGGCTGTTTGTGGCTGTTAGCATCCCAAGAGATGTATCCCAAATACTCCCATTCTCTTACCACTTTTTTCCACATTAAAGCCTCATCATAAGCCCAAATCCTGAGTGCTTTATGTGCTGCCTTTGGCAGATGCAATCAAGGCTCAGGCTTGACTCTTCAGAGACAAGATAACTGGATCTGTGTTTCTTTAAAGGCAAACCTAGAATCTGATGTAGTTCTCCTCCATGCCTGGACTTCTCTGCTTGGAAAGGCAGAGTAAGAGGTAACATATCGGGGAAATTAGATTCTATTGTTAACATGACCCTGAACTGAATATGACAGCACAGGTTTGTCTGCTATTACCACCAAAAACCATTAAAATCTTAATGCAATAATGGACTGCATTCCTGAGCACTCTCTGGGGTTTGCAGCATCTATGGTTGTTCCTCTCTCCCCTCTCATGTCTAAATAACAGCAGGTGTGAATTCCAACATGTTGTACTGGAAGAAACTAAATTTTTAATATATATTTTACTTTTGGTGCAGTAGATAGCATTGACAAAGATTTAACTCTTTAGACTTGTCAGGGGTTTATTTTCTGAACAAATAACAAGTTCTATTTGTAACCAGCCTTGGAGCACTGATAATTATAGCATCTGGAGACAAAGTGCCCCATTCTGCCCTCAGTAAATGCCTACACAATAAGAATTTTACAGAGGGCTGACACTGACAAGAGCTCTAGAAATTAGCCAAAGCCTCATGTTAATAAAGGATGATTATTCAAATGTTATTTTTTTAAATTATCACCAATCTTTGGGTAAACTTCTAAACACAATTGCATGTGTGTAGCCATGTTGACCTTAAAAACCTTGTATGAGGTCCACCTCTCAGTTTGAGGCATATTGTACAAAATGGGTCTTATTTAATTCCTTTAGGATCAACTAGGATTGAGTTTTTTGGTGAGAAAACAGGTGAGGTTTCAAACAATATTTGTGGGATAAAGGAAAAGGACGGACCTGGGAGTGGTCACTAGGATGGGGCTGGGTTTAAATGATTCACTCAAGATCTCAGAGCATATCAGTATTGGCATAGGTTCTTAGCCCAGGATTTCTATCTCAATCTGCCATCCCTAAATTAAGGACTAGTTGCATTCCTTTGCTAGATGTGATGCTGAGAAAATGAATGTTGAAGAACTGATGGTGCTTATACCCTACAGCAATGTGAAATGTAAGCATATCTGAGCAGGGTGCTCTTATGGGCAGTGATTAAAGCTTTCTAAGAATAACGCTGGCATTTTCTAAATTATAGAAAACTTCAGGTCTTCATCCTTCATATTTAACTTTCCTCCCCAAAATTTTTCTTTGAGGTGCTCATATACTCCCGTAAGCATACCTTACATATTAACATGGACAGAATAATTATAGGCTGAAGAAGAGAAAACAGGGAGGGAATATATCAATGTCCCTGTAAACTGGTAAAAAGGAGTGAGAGGATCAAAGAAGCAAATTAGAGTGGCATGAACCTTAAAGAAAGGCTGGAAGAATCAAGGAAGTTTTCTGGAGACTAAGATTGAAGGTAGATGATACTGAGTTTAAAGCACATATCTGAGAGTTAGGAGCCCCAAGGTCTGGTCCTGTTTGTGTTGCAACCTCCTCTAGTGCTTGTTGTCATGAGCAAGCAAGGGGATTGTCTGAAGTGTTAGCTCTTTAGGCCAGACAGTACTTTTTGGTGCATATTCATATGATTCCAGCAGAGTGCTCTGAAAAATACCTATGAATTGGCATGTGGTAAAATTTCCATTTACTCCAGGGAATGCAGTTTTCTTTTTTTCTTTTATTTTTTTTTTTCTTCAGTGATGGCAATGGCCTGGCACAAACAGGAGATATTTTGTTACTGCCATGCACAGAAATTACTTTGATTTGTGGCTCAAAATGGTCTTTTTGGCTTGACTTTCAATTGCATAGGAAAGCATGGGAAATTTCAGGGAAGATAGTACGACTTCTTTTTGGAATCAGGAGGTTGTTTCAGATGGCCTAAGTTGCATTTAAGCCTTTTTGTGTAATCACTGGGGAGAGAGAGACCTGTTGTAGGCATAAGGCTTATGATTTTAGGGTGTAAACATGGAAGAGTCTGTCACTGAGAAGTGCAAGCAGCTTTTTATTGTGCTGTTTTTCTCTTGCTTCTATAATTAATTTTTTTTTAAGCTTTTTTTTTTTTTTAGGAGATTTTTTTTCCCTTGTAATAGGTGGGGTCAATTGCTGATATTGGCCAGGTGGTATCTGTTCAGTTATATTCTTTTAGCTGTTTCCTCTTTTGCAATAAAGCTGGGTGGAGTGTTGCTAAGGGTAAAGTAAACAATCACCATATTGACATTTGTGTGTGAAGTGGCAGTTGTGTTCTTATCAATTTGCATATCCTTAACATAATGGTGCATAACACAGGCAGGATGACAAAATTACTGTATCCTTTACTGCTTTTGCTATTGATTTTCCCACGTGTAACATCCTCATCCCAAGCTGTCCTTGACTTCATAAAGGTTCCTGGTGGTGCAACCTCACTGGCAGAAACCAGGGGAGTAGTGAACAATTATTTCAGATATATTTTGAAGCACATTGAAATCAAGTTCCCAGGGATTTCAGAAGGATCTTTTCTGAAATAGGACTGCTAGTCTTCTCTATTTAAAATGAGAGTTGTCACTAGGGAGGAGATCAGCATTTGCTGGGTGTTTATTTGTGTCCCTTTCAAAGACCATGGTTACCCTTCCTAGGCACTGTGACAAAAAGGAGAGGGAAAGCACAGATTGAATACAAAAATGCCTTCTTGTTCACTATTCCTGTTTTAACTTGGTATGAGTCTTTCAAAAATTCAAAAAATTAAAAAAATTCAGTAGACCTCATATCAACAGCTGCAGTTTCAGGTCATTTAGTAGTTGTGTTTGTGCAGTAAATTCACAAATGGTTAACATTGCAACTGGGAATTCAAACATTCCTGGGAAGACTGCATACTTCTTATTCCAAGTCCCACTGGAATTGCACTCACAAAAACCTGTGAATTTAGAAGTCAGACCCACAGATATTGTCATACATGATCAAGTCCTGCCCCAGCTTTCTGTGAGAGGCTGACACTGTACATCACAACATCCTTTTTGTGAAAGAATCATAGATTAATTCAGGTTAGAAGCAACTTCTAGAATTCATCTGGTTCAGCATCCCTGGGTTTTCTTGGGAAAGGACTCCAGGGTAAGCTTTGTCCATGTCCCTCATTGTGACATTCTGCATTTTTTAGTCCTCTGGTCCTACCCATCTCCTCAGCTCTTAATGGCTAGATTTAGACTTCAGGACAAATGTGATGTTAGTATCTAGACTGTCTAGATCAGCAGATGAGCTGGATGATAAATTCTAGCCTAGGTATTTACCTTATGGTAGCCATGAGTATGTGTGTGGTGGCAGTTCTTGATCTTATATGGATCATGGCTTGGCTCAGATACCTACCATATGGGATGTGGGAAATGTTCTTACAATTCATAATAAGATATAACTCAGTCCTGACCTGTGGTACTTCTTCTTTGCTGCCGTTGAACTGTTCTGGGAAAGCAGCTGTATTTGTGTCCCATCCTGGAATTTCCAAGTAGTTCCCTAGCTCATTTCAGTTTCCTGACCTTGGCCAGCACTGAGCCAAATTAGATATGGCTGCCTATTTACACAACTTGTTTAATGCCAGTGTTATATGGCATGAAGTTGAATGACTTTGATGAAATACAGCAATTATCCCAAGATGTACAGCATAGGGTATTGCACTTCTGAAATAAATAAAGCTTATCTGGAAAAACTGGCAGTTCTGCTGGGAAAGCAAAGGGTAATAAGCTTAGGTATCTTTTTGTTGTTATTAAGAAACCAGCATTGAAAAAGTCCATGATCAACTGAAAAAGCAATGTGCAACATTTTGGAATATCTACAGCTTTCCTGTTTTCCCAGCTCCAGTTAAGTGAATCTTCATGCGTATATACTATTTTTGTTAGTTAACATTTTACATTGCCTCAAGTTTATTAATTCAACCTTGCTTTCTATCAGGGGAGAGAAGAGTAACAATATTCTCTTGCTACAGATACAGTCTCTCTCTGGCTAGGTGATGAAATGAAGTCAAAGGCAAGGCCTGGCTGTTCTGCCTGCATTGCTTTCAAGGTGAAAAACTGTACTCCCAGGTGGAGCAATTTGGGATGAGACAGTACTGGCAGTGCAGTAATGCAATCCTAGGAACCCACCATGTCGTGCATACAGATCTGTTAGACCTTGTGCTTGGAGCAGCATGCTTAGCCAAGGCACACAGTGAAACAGGGCTTCAACATATTGATTGCAAACCAGACCTAATACGAAAAGGTCCAGTCTCTCACACATTTCTCTGTTCCCAGAGAAGAGTCTCATGGTGTTAAAATGCAGTTCTATGGTCCATGTTATGAACAGCACTGACTTCATTTTCAGTGGTATTATCTCTCTCACATTGGATCCAGTGGCACAAAGTGACTGCCATGGGCCCTGTGTAAAGGACTTCCAGCTCACAAAAGCTCAGTCCCACAGAGTTTACACCAGCATTTCCCCCTCTTCAAAACCTGGCACCTGGGCTCCTTTGGCACATGAGCCCATTACACTTGCACTAGCATCAGCTATGTCACTGTCCACCCCTACAAACTACCAAGCTCTCGCCTGCTTCAGCACAATATTTAAAACATAGCCTGGGTCTGCTGTTGTTCAGGTCCAATCTGCACTGGCAGCTTTAGGAAACCTCTAAATGCTGCAGTCCTCCAACAATACCAGTGGTGAAACAGCCAAGCAACACTAGCCATGGTCTTCAGCAACCTTGCCTATCTTTGAAGCTGCCCTTTCTTTGAGCAGCAGGGCAGACTTTCAGATTACCTCAATAAGTCCCATCCAACCTCAATTATCCCGTGTTTCTGTGAAAATTCAACAGCATGCTGTCCCTCTTCCCCTTCCTATGGAAAGTCACAGGTAGTGGCACAAAGGCAGTGGTTGTATACTCAGACCCAATGCTTGGGGGTCCCACAACTGCGAGATGTGTTGTGGTCTGGCTCTACCCATGAACAGGAAACAAACTCTGTACAGAATGAGTGAAGTTACCCCGTTCTAGAGTTGAACAAGAAAGTGCAAATCTTTTGCAAAGCATGGCTCAGAGGCAGTGTTAGTGGAACCAGGCTGGAGTCCAGCTGATGACTAACATTACACTAGTGAGTGTGGTGCTCACTTCACTGTGGTTTTCTTCCCAATTTAGGTCTTGTTCGCTTTTTAGTTCAGGTCAGTATCCAGTTTTGTCATAAAAAGAGCTGAAACCATGTGAATAAGCAATGGTTAATTGGACTGTGAGGCTTCTGGAAAAAGACTATCTCCCTTACTACTGGGTGGTTCCTCCAGAGTCCTGGGAAATGGGGTCTTGATCCACGAAAGGATCTCTCTGTTACAAAAAATAAACTGTAGCGTTAAGCTTTGTTGAAACCAGCTGAGCGAGAGATGAGTGAAAAATTTCTGTTAAAACTACAGGTAATTCTTCAGTTAAGTGGATGTGTTTGTATACATTAAAAAATGTCCTTTTCATGGAAGACGTAGATTAAAAAAGAAGAGAAAATACTACATCCAGAAAATGTTGGCCACTGGTCTTTGTTTAAGGGAAAAAAAAAAAAAAAGACAATTTCTGTGGGGGTAAAAGGCCATAACTAAACTGAGGAAATAGAAGTTAAAAAGGCTAATGCACTTACTGGATTGCTAGGAGCAAAGTCATGCTGGTTTTCTACTAGCTAGAAAGTTTATTTAGTTCATGAAAGGATCTAGTGTCCATTATGATAAGGAGAAATGATTAAGCACAAATGCTTTCTCTTTTCTTGTTCCAGCAGTTGAGTTCTAGCACTCCCTAGCTACCATTACCCTTACAGACCATTTCTCCCACTTGATTTATCAGAAAATGGTACTGATATGAAATTCGGCTGTAATTCCAGACAACAGCCAGCTCTTGATATAAGTGAAGGTCCAACAACTTCATTAAGTAGCAGCAGTTTTAGGCTAGCTTCCTGACTTTGAATGTCTGTCCTTCCTTATGACAGATGATTTTTTTTTTTTTAATAACAAGAGTACTGTTTTTAAAAGAGAAAGACAGCAGGATGCTGTATTTGTTTACAATAAGCATTTCTCACTGTTACTGAAGAGAGCTACATGCAATAACTCTTCAGGTTACATATCCACCTCTCCAATGACACTGGAGCTTCATAATGTACAAAATCCCACCAAAATCTGTCAGTTGAAGCCAGTCTACTGCAAGGTTGAAAGCAATTAATTTTTTAAAAGATTATTTCTGTTTACATAATGAATGATTTGTATCTGATTAGGGAAATCCCTGATTCCTACAAAAGCTAAAGAATAAAAATTCTACATAATCAAACAGGGTAGCTTTAGAGGTTAAAAAAAAAAAAAAAAAAAAAAAAAGAAAAAGGAATATTTTCATTGTCATAACTGGTATTTACCAAAGGCCAGGGGTGATCCTGCTTTTAAGGCTAGAGGTCTCTCAGTGTAGTTACTTCTGTTCCTGGTTTCACTGCATAGGGTGGTGCTGGCAGAAGGTTTCTTTAAGATTTCCTCAATTGAAAAGGACAGGCTGGGCTTCTCCTGGCTGGAATACACCTGGGCATCTGTCATCTTCCCTCCAAAGCAGCCACGGGGCAGAAAGTCCTCTCCTGCTCTTCCAGCTCTTGGTGCTCTCCAAGAAACATGCAGCTGGGAAGGTCTGTGTCTCTCCCCACCTGTGTCCAGCCGACCTGCAGGAGTGCTGAGAGGAGAAACAAAGGCAACCCAGAAGTGAGCACAAGCAGCTGCTCCTCTCTGCTGATAAGCTTGAGACCAAGACCTGTGCTCCCATATCTGAGGAAGACAGAAGTGGGGGTCAAAACTCTTACCAACCCCACCCACTGCTAAACATTCCCCAGCTGGTGCAGATTTACAGAGCTATGAACAACTGCATGGCCATCCCAACAGGAAGTTCACTCCTCACAGACCCAGGTAAAAAGTGTCATGGAAGGGCTGCTTCTTTTTAGTATATCCTGTTTGTGGGGTAGTTATCCTCCTTTTCTACTTTCAGGCCAAAATCTGTGAGAAGCCCACTGTTTTTTTACTATTATGGAGTTAAGAAAATAATTGTCAGGATGAATATTTGTCCTTTGTGCTATTTACTAGCAAGAGACACACATGTAAACCTCTCTTGCATACAAAGGGGTGTCACTCATGGAAACCTCCCTCACCAGCATTTCCCAGGTTATGCTTCAGCCATCCCTCCCAGCCATTATCTTTGGATCAGACTATTTTCTACTATTTCGGAAACCCTTTGAACTTTCCAAACAGACACTTTTCAAATTCACCTCATCTTATCAGTCACAAGAGAAAAAGAGATGGCCCTTGCAACATGCTTTAGAATAGGAATTAGTGTCCTCTACTCCCCATCTATACTCCTAAAGATAAAACATTATATTCTTTCTCTCCTGAGCACAAGACAAGCTAGCCTGATGATAATCCCACCAGTCGCTTGCACCTCCCAGCCAGATGTCCGTGGAAGGGGGAGAAGGTTTCCCGGATAATGTGGATGAATGCCAGCTATTCCTATCCTGAACCTCTTCTGTCTTCTCGTTAGTTTTTATTTTGGGAAGAATGTGTGGTTAGATACACCCCCATTCCTTCCCTCTCCCTCCCCCAGTGCCATTTCTTGCTGCCTTGTGGGATTGCCCCTCACCTTTTAAATTGCTATGGTTGTGTCTCCCGTTCCTTCTGATTCTCCTCTGCACCTTCCTTATCAGACTCTTATAATTGTATTGGCAGGCTCTGCCTTATTTGACCAATGAACTGACAATTCTTGAGCTGATACCCCATCATATGACCTCTTAATGGAGTGGAGACCAAAATTACTGTATAACCAGGAGGCAATAAACCACACCTGATGAAAGGATTTCGGCTTTTTTTCAGATTCAAGAATCAAGATACTGGCAAATTGTTGGAGGTGGTGGGGAAAAGAACAGAGACGTAAAAAAAACGGTGCAGCCAGTCATGGTGAAGACTACTTAATTATCTGATTTTATTAATCAAGCTTCTCCCTGAGTAACAGTGTATACAGGCGAGTGCCCTTCACGCTCATGAAATGCATGGGGTAGAAAGTGGGAAGTGCTTTTCTTTGTTCCCTTTGCTCTGCCCAGTGTCTCAGTGGAGCTGTTTGTGTAAAGGAGGATCTTGTGCCTTCCTGGTTGTGTGATGAGGTGACAGCTGTTGCATGGGTGCAAAAGGTCTTGTAGCCCTTTCCATAAGTAGAGGACATTTCAGTGAATGCACATGGAGGGATGCTTCTCTGGCCAAGCCATCCTCTCCTGCTTTGCTGACAGTGGCTGTAATTCTGGCTGGGCACACAAAGAGGGATATCTTCCCCTTCTCTGCTTAGGTAGAATGAGGGAGTGGGTAATTTATGGGCTAAGAAGAGGTGAGCATGTCATCTGTATGCAGAAGGAAGGGAAAGAAAGATGATCCGAATCTGCACCCTCTATGAAAACTGCCCTCTTCCTTGTGTTTCCTGATGCAACACCCATGAAAAAGCACAAGGAGAAACCTGGTGCATTCTTTTACAAATGCCCTACTTTCCCTACTCAGCTTGCTTAAGGCACTAAAAAATGGGCAGATCTTGCTTTTACTGGCTTCCTACAGAGCAATGGCTTCAAATCTTACTCACTTTCCAGATGTCATGAGTTGAACGTCCTTGACCCAGCCTCCAATGTATTAATTTAGCATACATGACAGTGTCTGGACTCTGATGTTTACTGTGCTACCTATTATCTGAAATCTTTCAGGTACAGGACGACCAGCTTTAGGGACCAGGAGCCTCTGGTTTTTTAAGCTTCCCCTGCTGTCCTTTTTTCTGAAGTCTTTATGTAGGTGCAGGAGTGAAGCCCATGGATTTGTCTGCTTCAGTTCTCAAGTGAAGCCCAAGAAAGGACACATTTTCATTTGCTTTGGAAAGCTTTGGCTTTGGTTTCTTATTAAAGCCTCTTTATGTTCAAGTTTCTTGCTGCAGGGGGAGGAGGAGGATTTCACAGGAAAGTCTGATAGGTCCCAACTTTGGAGATCACTGGCTGGGTAAATTAGCCTAGAGTCTCTCAGGGCAAAAAATACACCTCTTCCTCTTCCTCCCCTTTGCTCCAGCTCCATTTTTGCCGAGGTAAATACACACCTTTGTGAAGGGAAGAAACGTAGCCTTCTGGCAGTTATGTCTCTGAACACTCACACCAGCTCTGAAAGAAATACATGTACCTATGTGTTAAAAATTTTTGGAAGAAAAGAGAGCCGAGACAGGCACACTCCAATTTTTCATCTCAGTGAAATACCTTTATTCACTGATTACACTGACAACATGTATCAAGTGATACCAGAGTATCTCTGTATTCAGAGAGTATGCACTGCCTGTCTCCACCGCCACCTACTTGCTGTGGGTAGGCACCTGCTGAGATAACGCTGTAGTTGCATTTCACAAAATAAAACCATACATGTTTGTATAACTATTCTGTCTTAGTCTGTGACTTTAAACCTCCCTGCTGCTCACAGGGACAAGTTGATTTTTTTGTGTTTGTTTAAATGAGATGCGCACACACAAATTTACAACTTGAAAGCTTCCCTGTGAAGGCTTTATTTTTTGTTCTGCCTTATTGTATTGTTATTTTTATTAAAACTGAAGGAAGTTCCGACTGAGAAATATATTTTTGTTCTTCTATACAGAAAAACACAACCAGCACTAAAGCGGGAAGTAGGATGAATAAGACAACTCTTGAAAGGATTAGAAAGCAGCAGTGTAATGACGCATAAATCCCGTGTTTTGCATACAAAAGTTTCTTCAGAAAAAAAATAAAAGGCAGATTTGTTATCAAAATGCTTAAATAATACCAAAAGACTTGAACATTTTAATATTTTTTAATTAAAAAATTGAAAAAATAGTGATAAATACTATTTCATTAATTAAGAAAATTGAATAATTTCTTTAGAATGACTGATAGTTTAGAATTTCTTTGCTTTGTATTATGTAAAAATAAAGATAGGTGGCAAAAAATGGAAGTTTGAAATGCAGATTAACATTTTGCAAATTAAAATAGTTCAGTTGACCTGCTTTTTCAAATGACTGAGTTGCTGAAATGTAACAAATTATTTATATTCAAAACAATAAATTATTTACTTTTAAATTACCACAGAATGAAGAATTATTACTCTGTCAAGTTCTAATATGATGGCTTTTGTAGGGTAGTTTGGGGATATTTTTACATTTCTGCTTGACCTGGAAATGCAGATGACTTCCATTTATTACAATTATTGTGCTACCTGCCTAATTTAGTCTATAAATTCCCTGAGGCAGGAAACACATCTTTCCTTGGGGTTGCTGAGCTCTGAAGGCAACTCTTTACACAAGAAGGCGGCTGTCTAGAGGAAGATCATGCTATGTTGATTTTCTCAACATGTGCCAGGCAAATGTAGAGCTCCACAAAGCCTGTGAGGCTTTTAAAATATGGTGTGCTTTCAGAAAGTGAAAAATCCTGGATGTGCAGACTTGAAATCAACCTGGGATCAATACTTGTTGGTTGTTTGTTTTTTTTTTTTTCCTATATTGCCTGTCTTGAAGAGGAGGAAGAATTGTATTTAAGCTGTCAGTCAGAAAGCATGACCATTCCTTCCCCACTGGTCTCTTCCTCTGGATATAGATGATAACAGGATGGTATTCCACCTGATGCCTCTGAAGCATCTCCTTTAAGCTCTGAGTCTGTATGTGACTCAGAGTCAGAGCTGTACAGTGTTTATGCACAGCATGGGTGCTGCAGTTCACACCACTTCCCCTCCAAGGGCTTGTGCTCAGTCAGCTGTTCAGAACAAGTCTATGAGCTCAGGCAGACAGGGGCACCAGCAGTGGCCAGTGATGGCGCGGCTGCAAATTGCCCACGTCACCTCTGAAGCTTAATGTCTGTGTAGGTTGTCTTCCATCCTTTATGCTTTACTGGACTCTGACAATCTCTCCAGTGTCAGCTGAGCTGCTCTGGTCTTCTCAAAGTTCAACAGCCAGCAGTGATCCAGCAGAAAGCCCATGCAGCATGCCTTCTGGAGTCCTTTTAACCTCAGATTTATTAGCCCTGTTGTCTCTGTAGATTTCTCAACAAACTCACAGATTAGAAATAATAATAAAAGAGACACTGTAGGTTTAAACTGATAACATTTATTATGAGGTTTTTTATGGCACAATTATTATCAATTGACATTTAAAATGGCATCAATAATCCATCAAGGTGAAATGGACTTGGAAAGATATTTCTCCCAGGCCAAAAATAATAACAACAGCAGCAGCAGCACTGCAAGAGGAAGCACACAAAGAGTTTGAGTCCAGGTCACTGATTACAAAGTTTGGTGGTGGTTTTTTAGCAACTTTATCTGTTTAATCCATTCTTCTATTTCATAATGCTGATTCTCCCCTGCCAGGCTCCTCAAGCCCTTTGTAGAGGTTTTTCTAACAAAAAATCTTCAGTTAATCCATTATGGGGAGCCTGGATCTTTGCTTGGAACAGAGCAGGAGCTGTTACATGTGGGAAGGGATGGACAGATCAAAGGTTGTTCTTTTCATAGCAATTCAGCCTCTGAGCAGCAATTGCCATGGGGAACACTCCATCATGGCTATAAACTGGCTTTAATCTGTCTGCTGTTTGGCTGACGCAAAGTTTCAAATAAAGAAGGAATGTGTTTAATGTAGGCCACCTTTGCAAACATGGGAAGCACAACAATTCTCCCCACATACTGAAGAAGTCTACAGAGACTACATGTACAGAAATAAAACCAATTCTCCAGGAAAATAAAAAAAAACCCAAAAAAACCCCCCCAAAAAGCGCTCCAGAAACAGGTAGTAGAGTAAAACAGAAAGTCCAAGACCTCTAGCTCATTATTTCAAATTAGTTGTAGTTTGGTAGTGAATAAAAGTCTGTAGCAATGCATGAAAATGAACTTTCTGTGTCCCAGAACAGTTCTTCATCACCCAGATGTGGAGAAGGCACTGAATCCTCCCATGAATCACTAGTGCTACAGTGGACTGCTGTTGTTTTGTAGTGTTATTGCAGTTAAAAAATAAGGCCTTCACTGCATTTTCCATTATGGAGATGCCCAGCAGAAGATAATCTTTTAAACAGTGCTGTGGCAACCTGCTTCATTTTTGCCAATGGGGAGGAGACTGGCACTTCCAAATGGGCAGTTCAAACTATTCTCAGGTAAATGCCTGAAAGAGGTGTTCCTAACCTC